TTGTGGCAACAAATGACCAGGCTCAAATGATCCTACTTTGAACACATTATGCAAAGACCCATCTCTCTGGAAAAGGCTCTAAACTTGGGAAAGGTGGAAGGAAAGAGAAGAAGAGGACACCCAGCAGCCAGGTGGATGGACTGAGTTACAGTGGCAATGGGGGTACCATTGGAAGGCCACAAAGACCAGGTTAGGGACAGATCGTCATGGAAAAAAATCTATCCATGTGGTTGCTAACAGTCAACACTGATTGATGGTATACAATCAGTAAAATAAACATATCGAAAAGCAAGTTCCACTGATCACATAAACTTGCAGAAGAAAGTTGCAGCACATAATTATGCACACAAATCTGGAGGCAGATATGGGGGGGAGTGTCATGACATTATTTGTGTGATTATATCATGGCTGTATGATGCAGTTGTGGCTTGTATCTCTGTAGGGCCCCCGTTTGGGGAAAGCTGTATTAAAAGGAAAGGCTATCTGGTATTTTCAGTTCTTTTATGGTTACCTTGAATAAAATAACCTTACTTAAAATCACTTGCTTTTTTCTTTTTATAGCTCTTTGTGAAGAATCCAGTGATTTCTTTTATTTCAAAAAAGTCATAGATTTACTTTGTTTTTAAGACCCAAAAGAAATTATCTGCAAACATAATTTTTTAATAATTATTTTTCCCTATAATTTAATATGGGAACTTTTCTACGGACAGCCAATTATTGTCTGGTTGATGTCTTTTGATGGCTACCACATTATCCACCACGATGTATTTTTTATATCTTTAAAACTGATTCAAAACTGATCGAACCTTGCTCACACATGGACTTGTTTGTTGCAAATATTATATCCTGTCTTCAATGTACTTTTTTGTTCATCTCCATAACAACCTTGCAATGTAGGTTACACTGGGAGGTTCTAATGACCAGGGGATTTGTGAACCTGGTTCTCTCTAATAACAGGGAGGTATTTATCTAACCTCCTTGGCTTTGAAGCTAGAAGCATGCAGTTGCATCAATTTATCCCTGATGCATTTAACTCTTTAAATGTGGTTTCAAAGCTTGCTGAGTCATCAATCATATCAAGTGAGATGCTCTAATTTATAATAAATTTCATATATAGGATTTTAGTTAAAATCATGATGGCCATTTCAGATAAAAATTACACAGCCTGAAATTTCAGTTCAATAGCTGGTCAAAGTTTAAAAGTTTCTCCCATTTCTCCTATTGTTGGTTCTGAACTTTTGAATGGAGGCCAAGCGCATGAAATCCCAAATCCAATGTGATTTATTGCCTCAGTTTGCAAATCACGCTAGGCTAATACACAATTGGCTAATTTGAGGCTGAACGAATTATGTTCGCGTAGCCCATGCAATTAGTTCAGTGTCTTGTGTGAACACTTACTTTGAATTCAGCAAATCACAGACTCAGTTAACAACAGATTAACTCTACAAATATAGCCACAGAAATGAGAAAGACCCCACATGGCCACCTTGAACAGAACTAAATTGCTTACTGGCAGGCCATATTCTCACAGCAGTTCTGGCAGTTAGAAATAAGGAAGCTGCAGCAGGAAAGGGCTTTGGTAAAGCAGGTGGACGGGTGGAGAAATGCATCCGATACAGAGCAGAGGCGGGGTTGCGAGCGGGAGCAGGTGGAAGTTGTTTATCTGCTCTGCTGTTCAGTGTGGCCCAACAGACTGAAAAAAGCAGCTGGCTAGAGGAAGGAGATCCAGAGTCTTTCTGAAGCTGTACTTTCCAGGTTGGTAAGCATAGTATGGCCAGGCAGCTGGAGAACGCAGCCTTCGCTTTGGGGAATCCTCCTCAAAAAAACCAGGGTGTGTGTGTGTGTCCTTCCTTTTTGAAAGCACTGGGGTATGCTTTGGGTATGGCTTGCTGAGTATCTGAGGTGTCTTTTGCAAGGCCCCAGCACATAAATGTACACTGAGGGTGCTGCATTTGCACAACAAGCTTGGCCAGATCAGGTCAAGATCCAGCACATACATTCACACAAGCTTTTTGTTAGTTGTAATCCTGGTTAGTTTTTTGTGGCTTAAGATGTTAGGAGGAGCCAGCGGTATAGTCTGTTTATGATTTGGGGGATTGTGAGAGACTAAGATCAACACGCAGGGACAGAAAGTTACAATTATTACGTTGCAGGATGAACCCAGCGTGCCCATATGTGGGCTCAAGTAAAATGCCCAGGCATGCACCAGCAGAAGCTTAGGTGGTTATCTGTAGGCGGAGCATTAGTCCCTGCTTGTGCAAACAGGCAGATCACATCAGTTTATGAAGAGAGCTGTGCCTTTAAAAACTAACAGTCTCTAGACCAAATTTTGCTATCTGTCAATTTAAGCACTTGGTCATATCAGTTGGGGATGCTGGCAATCTGGTTTAGATTGCCCAGAGCTCTCTGGTTTGACAGAATGGTGCCACTTCTGTTTATCTTACCAAGATAGTCGACTTTTAACTTTCACCAGCTGATATTGCAATGAGTATAGGTAATCCTTGTTTAGTGACCACTCATTCAGCAACTGTTCAAAGTTACAGCGGTGCTGAATGAGGGGACTTCTGATTGTTCCTTGCAGTTGCGGCCATCACAGCATCCCCACAGTCATGTGATCGCAATTTGGGCACTTGGCAACTGGCTCGCAATTACAACAGTTGTGGTGTCCCACAGTCACGTGATCATCTGCGACCTTCACTGCCAGCTTCTGACAAGCAAAGTTGATGGGGAAGCTGGCAGTGAAGGTTGCAAATGGTGATCACGTGACTGCAGGATGCTGCAACTTCATGGGGTTCACCTAATGACAACTGGACTGCCGCAACTGCTGTCACAAGTTGGTGCGGTCATACGATGTTGTACTTTATGACCATGTCATATAATTGATCTGTTTGATACTAGAATAGTTCAGAAAGCAAACAACTAAAACCCAGCTGAATTTGCTCAAATGGTTTGAGGCAAGATTAAGATCAACATGCCAATAACTGTTAGTGTTATCCTCGGCTTTCTGACATAATTCCAGTGGAAGACATTTCATTCTCCATATTCTTTATTGAGGGTGATAAACCAAGGAATGTATCACAAAGTCCATTGGAGTTGGGCAGCTAATAAATTCAAATTAATAAAGATAAATGAGAATAACCTTGGGTGACAGGATGGGGAGGAGCCACAGCCGAGACAACAGTCAGATAAGAGATATCTCAGCCCACAGAAGGAAGGAGGGTGTGGGAAGCATCTCAGAAGGGTCCCTCCCTAGTTCTCTGGAAGGTAAAGGCAAGGGAGGGGAGAAGGGCTTTCAGACGTGCAAGATTCCGTTACTGTAATCCTACAATAAAGGTAGTGTTAGTTCTCATGGTTTGTGCTGCTTGTCTGGACTACCTCAAAGGGCTGGCCCAAATAAAGTTCTAAAAAAAATTCAACAAAGATTAAGCATTTAAAGTTTTAAACTGTAAAAACATTAATTAAAATCTTACCTTTGATAGAGCTGCAGAATGTGTGATGGGGCAGTACACTATGTGGTTAAACCTCTCAACCTTGGCTTGCCCTACAAATACCACGGGAGAGGTTGGTGGAACTTATTCTGCAGAAGAGGGAGACAGACAAGGTGACATGTCAACATCTGGCAGTTCTACCTCAAGAGTTTAACTCTCATGACTTGTTGATGGAGTCTACGATTTTCCCTCCCAAGCTGGCTTGAAAAATTGCATCAGCCTCGTCTGCCTGGCTTTTTGCCTCAAATCTTTTAGGAGTCTTGGCGTAAGGGGAGAATGCAGTGAAGGTTAAGTGCTTAAATTTGAGGCTGTGTTCAAGCATAGGGTCACATTCTTCCATGTCACTGAAATGTTTTTTTCAAGGCAGAATTCCGTTTCAATATTTTGGTCGCTGTGAGGACAGTTCTTGGACATTTAGGCTGAATTTCATCACCATCGTTGTCATCGCTGACTCTGATGCCTTGTTTTGCCATCTCATCCAGGTCTCTTTTCATGGGTTCTACTGCCTTCTCTGCCAAAATTTCCTCCATGTCGTCTTCCTTCATGTCATCGTTTTGACACTGTTTTTAATATTTTCTGTCACACCTTCAAAGCTTTCAACATTTTTCATGCAGTCTGGCCCAACATTTTTCCAACAATTATTGATAGGAGCCTGCTTGATGCTGTCCCAGGCTGTGCCAACTTAATAACATTGCACATGGTGACTAACTTCCAGTAGTCCATTATGGTGGTTTCCTTGTTGGTGTCAGCTTCACAAGCCTTGCTATAAAGCTCCCTCATGCAGTAAGCCTCGAAAGCTTTTATTATAGCCTGATCGAGGAGTTGGATGACAGACGTAGCGTTTGGGGGTATGAAAAGGACTTCTACCTTGGGGTGAGCATTTTCAAGTTCCTCATGACAATGGACTGGAACATTATCTAAAATTAATAAAACCTTGAAGGCAAGGGTTTTGCCTTAGAGATAGCATTCACATTCTGGGCTGAAGCAGTTGTGGATCCCAGGATATTTCGGATGTCATCCTTGCTTTTTTGTTCCACCTCCAATGGGCTGGCATACAGTTTAGCTTTTCCCTTTAAGTGCTCATGGATTTGGGGCTCTGTATACCATTAGGGATTTACACTTAAAGCCTCCCTTGGCATTGGCGCACAATGGCAAGGTTGCCAGGGTCTTTGACTTAAAGCCAAGGGCTTTAGAGACCATTTGCATCATAATGTTTGTTTGCCAATGTTCTTGTAAAACAAGTCAGTCTCAGCAGCGTTGAAAACCTGTGCTTCCACACAACCCTTTTTTCTATATAGCACTTACCAGGTATTCTTGCGCAGCCTCCTGATCTACAGAAACTGCTTCACCTGCAAGTTTAGTATTTTTCACTTTTCATGTCGTATCACCTTTTGAAACATGCACACCAGCTGGTGCTACCTAAGAAGGGTTTAACATTTTCTTGACTCTGGGTAATATGATTGTAAAATTCTTTGGCTTTCAGCCTCACAACAATGCTGGCTGCTATGCTTTTTTATCAATCATCATCTCATGAATACACAAATTTAGCCACTTTTCCATCTTTTCCATGGCTTCATCATGCACTGCAGATGTTCCTTTAGCTCTTTCCAGAGTGGTCTCACATACAGATAGGTGAATTTCCTCTTCCTTTTTTTGGCTGTACCTTATTGTTGATCCATTATCACTGAACTCATGGCCAACACCGCTATAACTTATGCCTGAACTTAGTTTATCTAGCACATGTATTTTCTCCGTAAGGCACATCATGGCCTTCTTGCACTTAGGAACACTAGCCTAGGGGCCATCTTAACCAACAAGATCACCAGTATGAGAGAAGGCAGATGTGCGTAGTGTGGTGACTCAATATTTTCGCCATTCTGTGTGTGTCCGCAAATGATCATGAACGCGTCATGAGTGTTGATTTGGGGGTTACAAATAACTTTTAGCAAGTAGGTGAATTCACAAATATGGAACCCGTGAATAATGAGGATTGCCTATATTAGGTGGAGATGCTGGGGTTTCATTCGCAGCACATCTGGAAGACAGTAGTTTAGGAAAGACTGCACTTAAGCACATGGTCACCACTTAAAAGCTTGGCTTATGTATAACCATGTGATTAGGTCAGCATTATCAAATCTCCCACTGATTCTTTGAAAACATTGGTAATGTTAGTAGTCTTACTGTGTTACTAAGACTACTCACCCCATGGTAAGCTGTTAAGCAAACATTTGTGGGTAAAGATAATTATATTCCATCATCCCCTACGTAGGACTTTCCTGTAGAATCTTTCTATAGTTTTCCACAGAGACTATATTGAGCGACTCACTGGCAAAGAGGCAGGATGGTATTTATGTGTTTATTTATTAGATTTATATCCCACCTTTCATCCACAGATCCTCACTGCAGCCTATATAGTGTTTCCTCCTCCCACAACAGTAATTCTGTGTGACAGAGGCATCTACAAGATCCAAAGCAGTGCTGGGTCATTGCAATGCAAGATCTGTCCCTTTTGTACCTGTGTAACATCACTATGCATGTGCAAAAGGGGAGGAGCTTATGTCACACCAACATGACAGTATTTTCCTCATTTGCACCCCCTGCTCCTCCCTCCCATTGGATGCCTCCACCTATGAAGTAGATTGGGCTGAGAAAGGGTGGTTGGTCCAGAGCAGTGTTTCTCAATCTTGGCAACTTTAAGATGTGTGGACTTCAACTCCCAGAACTGCTGGCTGGGGAATTCTGGGAGTTGAAGTCCACGCATCTTAAAGTTGCCAAGGTTGAGAAACACTGGCTCAGTCACCAGTGAGCTTCTGTCCCTGAGGGTAGACTTAAACTGGGTCTCTTTGGTACCAGTCCAACACCTTATCCACTACTCATTTTAACCACCATACATTTTGGTGTGTAACATTGTCTTCTCCTTGAGCATGGCTGTTTCCAGGTTTGAGGGGGGTCCTTAACAAAATGCTATCAGTGTGTCCCCTCTCAAATT